TTATCATACTTTTTATTTTTTAGGAGCAAATTATAATAATTTTGAATATTCTATGGATACAAAATATTTTGCTTCTTTTTTCATTTTTGTAAATTATTTAGATGCATTTTTTTCTTTGCTAATTTTCGTACCCGTTACATCATTATTATACGATTTTTAATTAATATTTTGAATATAGTATTTCTTATTCTAATTTCGGTATCATTTTATTAATCATTATTACAATTAATTGTAATTAACAAATTTGTTGATTTATAGAATGAGTTTGTAATGTTTATTCTATATATTTTATTCATTATTTCTTTTTATTTACTTTTATTTATTATTTCTTTTTCTATCTTTTCATCATTTTTACTTTTATTAAATATATGTGATAGAGTTATTGTATTATTTTTATTTCATTTATTGTTTATTTATTTTGTATTTATCATTATATTTGAATTTTTCATCATTACCATTATATCATTCTTTTACATATTTTGAATCTTTGTTAAATTTAATTCATTTCTTATATTATTATTTTTATCATTTATATCATATTCTTGATATTCATTTTGTATTTCTGTTATTTTACTCTATTTCAATGTTTTCATTTTCAAATACATTCTATTAATTCCTTTTAAATTCTTTTTATTCTTTTCGTTATTTTCAATCATTCTATTTTATTGTTGTTTATAATCTATTTCTATGAATATTTCAGACCATCCCATGTTGAATATTTTTTTCTTATTTCTTTGTAGTTCGTTATATTTAATCTTTGTCCGATTCAGTATAATATTTATTGTCATCTTCTTGTTATAAAATCAATGTATATAAATTATATTATACTATTAATGTTTTGTTATATATTATATATATTTCTTTAACTTATTTGTTTATTATTTCATTTGTTTATTTTTATTTATGTACATTATGTCATATTTCTTTTCATAATTATTTTATTGGTATTATACATACTTGTATGTTATTTATTATTTCTTCTAAAACATTCTCGTATATCATTATTCTTTTATTTTATTATTATTTGTTTTATTATTATTCTTATGTTATTTTCATTTTATATATTCTTTTGTTTTCTATTTATTTTTATTTCTTCATTGCAAACTATTTATTATATTTCTATATTAATACTCTTTGTTGATTATATATAACTCTAATTGCTTTTTATTTATTCTCATTAATTTATTAAAATACAATCATTTATTGATATGAATATGAGAAAATCGATCACGTTGTATTATTCATATTCATCATATATATCATTTTTCATTTTATGAAAATTATATATTATTTATTTTCATTCATCTTCTATTTCTTATTTCATTTTTATATTATTGTATGCTGTAGTAGTTTTCTATTTTATTAAAAAATTAATGTTTACACTATCATATTCTTTCATACTATCATTATATTTTTATATCCTTTTTTAATTTTAATAGTTTGTTTGTAATGATATCGTTTAATTAAACATTCTTTGATTAACATAATAATCTCTTACATTAATTTGTGTTACTATTGTGTGTTTTATTCTTCTTTAATCAATGGTATTCATTTATATATTTAACAGATGAAGTAATTGCTCTTAATATACAACTTAACCGTGTATTATTTTGTATTTTTATATATTAATTCATATATTAATATACTAATATTCATTCATTTTAATATTTCATTTTTATCTCTATCCATCTTTAATTTATTCATTACTTATTTCTTTTATTCATCATTTATTTATCTTTCCAAACTGTTTATGCATTTTCTTTGTTTGTAACTTCTGTTATTTCTTATTTATGTTTCTGTATTCTTTATCCTATTATCAATATATTCAATCACCCTAGAAAAAGAAGGAAATATCTATGAAATTAAGAATTAAATTCATGACAAACTCAGCTAAAGGAATTTTCATATCTTAATTCAAATGGAATATTACATAGAGACATTGAACTAGATACTTTCATTATTGTATCAATTGAATATGGTATTGAAGTTGAGTGTAAACTAACAAACTTTGGAACATCAAGAAGCATTAATATGATGATAACAAATATGACATTTATAAAAGGAATAATAATATCAAAATACAGTCAGACATATATTCATGCTTAACAAGAGGTATGAAATAAATCAAGAAATTTATGATAAAAAAGGAGAAGAGTGTAATAATTTTAATAAGTAAAAGGATGTTAAGTGATGTTTAAGAGAAAATAAAAATAATTAATAGTTAATATATAATATTTTTCAATAATTTTTACAAAACAACAAAGAATAATAATCCCATAAAATTTTACTTTTATTTTTTGTTAGTAAACATAATAGCATTTAAAAAACACTCAAAATAAGAAGCACTTTGACTTTGTTTTCTTACTTTCTTTGATATTAACACTAGCTTTTCCAGAAAGTTGTTTTGAATTTCCTTCTAATTTTTTAACAACTTCATTAATTAAATAGTTAAAAGCTTCAGCAATGTTAGTATTTGTTTTAGCACTAACTTCCATAAAATGAACGTGCTGACAATTTGCAAATGACTGACCTTCTTCAGTACTAACTTGTTTTGGCATATCACATTTATTACCAACTAATAGTCTAACTGCACTTCCAGCAATTTCAGCTTCAGTTTCAGCTAACCAATTTTTTGTACTTTCGAATGTCTTTTTATCAGTACAATCATAAACAATAATAACAGCATGAGATCCTCGATAATATGATTGTGTGATTGTATGAAATTTTTCTTGACCAGCTAACATAAAATATAAATGAGTTCTTGTAAAAGAAACATTAGAAGATAAAATAACAAACCTGTGTCCCACTAAATGAATTAATTTGATACTTCTATGAAATGAAATACTAATATCTTTTTTGGTTTGACTATAATAATAAAAAGTAGTCTTTTCATTTTGATGAGAAATCCCCGAAGATTTATAGTCTTAAAAAACCATTTTTTAAAGAAAGAAGAAAACTAACAAACGACTTGAATTTTTAATCGTTTTCCGTTTACTTCCATTTTTTTAACTTTAAAATCAACACCAATAGTTGCAATAAATGCGTCTGTAAAAGTATTATCAGTATATCTCAAAAGCATTGCTGTTTTACCAACAGCTGTATCTCCGATAATAAGAAATTTTAACAAATAATCCCAGTCTTTTTTCTCAGTCATTTTAATTTTACAGTTCCATCACTTTATTATTTTTTTCAAATATTTGAATATTCTTCTCTGATAGAATCTTCTCTTTTTTCTATTTTTAGTTTTTGTTTTATATTACATTATTTATCTTTATGTTTTTTAAATTAAACAATAAAACGAATTAAGGAAGATTAACTGGACTAGTTGTTTCAGAAAAAGTCCTATTTTCTTTTGTTGTACTTCCTTTTCTTTTACCACCAAGAAATTTATGTCTCAGTTCTGGGTTATAAGTTTCACTTCTTGAAATAGCTGTTGGAAGATGTTGTTTATAAAATTGATTATTTGGAGAAGAAGGAAGTTCAGAAATAGGAGCAACAAAACCTTTAGTTTATAGAAGACTAGGAAAACTACAGACATATTTATTTGTTTCTCCTTTTGTGGTTTTCATTAAGACACGAGTTAAATGACGGGAATGAGGTTTGGTAGTATCAGATTTTGATAAACCTCTTTTATAAGTCTTTTCAACTCGGCTCATCCTTTCTTTTTTTGTTTCATCAATTTATTTCGTTACTCACAATTAGCTTTAGCTATTCATTAATCTTTTCATCTGAAAGGAGAACTTTATCAGTTGTCGTGCAGAAGATCCATTTAAGAGTTTCAGGACAATAATCTCTAAGAATTAATCTTCCACAATAATTACATCTAAATCATTCATTATGATAAAAATATCCTTCAAAAAATGAACAAGGTTAGTCGTGTTTTATTTCTTCAAAACAAAACTTACAATATACAACATTTTCTAATTTGATTTTTAATTCATTCGTAATATTATCAAGAGTTTCTAATGTATATTCTACTTTTGAATAATCTTTTAATAATGAACATAATGAACATAATGAAGTTAATTGAAGTCCTTGTTGAATTTGTTCTTCTCTTTCTTTAAAAAACATATAACACATTTGACTTTGTTCGAAAGGTTTCATGACAGTATAATTTTCTACATTAATCTGTTTTAAATATTCTTCATATTCTTCTATTTGAAAAACTGCTCTTTGTTTTTGAGAATCAAATTTTAGATATTTTTGATATCCATCAAATATAGAAGCAAAGAATTTATGAAAGAAACAATAAATCAATTCATTTGAACTTTCATCTAATTTATGAAGAATAAAAGTTCATGCAACTTTTAAAAGAGTAGTTTCATTAGAAATAAATACTCATGGAAAATTTAGTGGGTGGTTATTTAATAATTTACCATTGTCTACGTCAAGAACAATTATATCATCCATTTTACCACAGTCTTTATATACATTTGACACAAAATTATTTTTTACTCCAATTATATAAAGCATAGGTGCAGTACTATATGTCAATAATGAAAGTGGTAAAACAGGAATAAATACATATTGCATTTAGAATGGAAATATTAAAGACGTAAATACCATAATAAATGTTGATAAAGATTGAATTGACTGACTTACAAAAACAAATTTTCTTTCGACTAGCAAATACCTAATAAGATCAACAAGTATTGAAGCACTAAATGTTTTTAATAATATTGATACATCATGGTTATAATGATCATTTAATTCATCACTATTAATAATTTGATAATGAAAGTAATGAAATGAAATATTTAATGATACTTCATTAGCCAATGGGATTGTTTGAAGACAGATATCATCAAAAAATCATTTCATTATTTCTATTGATAATAATCGTAATTTTTAGCTATTTTTAATATTTCTTCAAATATGTTAATGGTTTTACTCCAATAATACATAAACACTCTGGTTCTTCAAAATATGGAAATCTTAAACGATATGCATATTTTCTTGTTCCATTTACATCTGTTAACATAAATGTAAAAATTTCTGGAAGTGTTGGTTCAAATAATAAATTTCTTTGCGTTAATAATGTTTCACCTATGAAAAACAAAATGGAAAAATTGTATTTTGTTGATTAATATCTCCTACAATATGTTGGTCAACACACTTCTTATTTATTTTCACATCAACTAAATTACATCTTAATAAAATGATATCGTCAACCCATCTCTCTCTCATATTGCTTGCTTATTTATTAATCTTTTCTCTTTTTTTCAATAAATTTCATTTCATTCTTTTTCTTTTATTTTTTTTCCTTTCTTTTTAATAATCCTCAAACACTTTTCTTTTTTTTTTGAACTTATTTTCCATATTTTCTCAATAACAATATCTTAAGATTGTTATTTTATCTACATAAAACTTTTATAGTTTATTATTATAATATTTTA